CACAGTAAGGTAGACAGTTAGCGATATAGCTACTTCAGAGTTTATTAAATACCGAGAAAAAAGATGGTGTAAAGTTTTCAATGTTTAAAGTCGTTATATTGTGAAATATCAGAGCAGAATATATTTTTTAATTTTCATCGTTTAATTATTGAAATTTTACCTTTTGCGAAAAGTTTTGTTACAGAATTGTGTAAATGCTTGAAAGTATCATTGATTCAAATCTGTGAAATGTCTCAATATAGCAATACGTTCCAAAATGTGTTTTGCACCTAAACTTTGCATTTGCTTCACAAATGTTCTAATATGAAATCAATAATCCTCAAATTGAAGTTTATTTATTTTTAGGAGTTTAGTATTTAAGCTTCTTTTTTTTTAAATGTAGCCTTAACTATACTAAATTAAAGTATGCATACAGTTTTTTACTTCTTGACTTAAATTAAAACCATATAAACAGTTAAAAAATATATCTTTACGCATTAGGCGCAACCCTGACTCTCAGTGCAAGGTCTGGCTAAATCACGGTTTGGAATTTTCATCTCCTGAATTAATTTATAATTGTTACCTAAATGATTTAGTAGAGCCGCATAGAATACCTTCTTTAAAATTCAATTTAATTGGTCAATGGTCAAAGTGGACCCTCTTTTGAAGTTGTACCCACATTTTTGCAGTACCTCCCCCAAATTTTCCAAGGGAGAACTTCCCCGCCCCCTCATTAAACCACCACTGGGAAAATTTAAAATCCCCTACCCCCTGGCCCTAAGCTCAGCAAGGGAGGGAAGGCCAACCTCCCCCGCACAGCCTCCGAACCTCATTTTACTTATTTGCAGCAGTGCGCGTCCCCATCGCGGGCTTCCGAACCTCCCCTAAACAGTCTTCCGGGAAGGATCTTCCATTCATAATCGTCAATTTCTACTTAAAACATGGCTAATTTGATTATTTAAGCACGCTAGTCGATCTATAGTATCCTTAACATTTGCATAATATTTTTTTTTTACAATCGGGGAGAAAATAGCTTTGTTTTATAGATGTTTTTTATCAACAAATCTTGGAATGGCTGGCGCTTTTTTATGAATAACTTTTAGTAATAAGTAGACATATAAAAAAGTTTGCTTTATAAAATGTTGTTTCTAAAAAACATGTCTGTTTGTTAATTTTCTTTCTAGTTATTGAGATATTTAAAGAAAACAAAATTCTGTTATAACCAAATGATTTTAAAACTATTGCCACCTATTTTTTACAAGCGCTACAGACTTGAAATACATATAGATCGAAAGATGATTACATTTTCTTTAATTTGAGCATCGCTGAAATTTCCTTTTCTCATAGTTTAATGCATTATTTTGCAGGTAAATAAACTTAATAAAAATTGTACGTTTTCGTCAGCAAAACGAATGTCTGTAAGTTTACGCGGCAAATTCAACCCCGAAGTTTTTACACATATTAGCTGATTTAGTTCATATTAAACAACGGTAAAAGATAGTGTCTCCTGGTGCAGCACGTTATCTAAAACTGTAAACACCTTAAATATTATTGAAAATTGTTTTCTAAAATAAATTAAATTAACTATTGATTGTATCGATGGCTCAATTTCATTTTTTAGAAAGATTTAAGCAAACCCCCGGTAATTTCTTAGAGACCGATTTTTGGACCCCCCCCCCTGGATCCCCTCCCCCCTCCTATCAATTTTGCACATGGATACATGGATATAATTGATCATGTGGACGCAGCGCCCAGCCCCCTTATAGCCTGTCCTAACCACGGCGCTTGGCCCCCTAGCCTGTCCTAACCGCGTTGCAGCGCTCGGCCCAGAAATTGTCTTAACCTAACCAAACCTAAAATAATAAAAAATAATAATAATTTGCTGTAAGATGAATAATAAGTGGTCCTGTAATTAAATTGATAGGGGGGGGGAGGGGGGGGGCCAAAAATCGTTCTCTAGGACGGAACCAAACCCCCCCTCTCTATCAAGTTTGTACATAGTGAAATAAAATATTCCAACTATTCTTTTCAATTAAATAGCCCTAGCGATGTTCCTCCAAGGCCCTGTTCTTTAACCAGTCTTAGCTGGCTTGGCTCCAGCTGCAGCGCTCGGCCCCCTAGCCTGTCCAAAAATAAATTTTTTCATATCAATGCACAATAAAATGCTTTAAAAACATATGTACAAAATTTTAGTATAACTCAGGGGCGTACAAATATAATGAAAAATATTTCTGAAAATAATTTTTTTTTAAATAGCTGTTTTTTTACTTCGATCTTTAATGATGGTAAATTTGTGTCAATTCTTAGGAATGATTAACTGTTGTGTCTCAAAAATATCACCCTAATTTGTTCAAATTTTTGGTATATAAAATGATTTTGCAAAGAAAGAAAGATGAATGTATGAAAAAATAAATCTCTCCTCCCTGTAGGGTGTTCTAAATGTCATGAGAAAGACATTATTTTAAATTAAATTCTGTTTTATTGAGTTTATGACAAAGTTTAAACCTTCTTACTCCATTTATTTTGCCTTATTTAGGGTGGCCTTCCATTAATAATTTTTATTGTTTAAACCAAGTTCTACCAAGTTCCCCAATTAAAATTTGAGGCATTCATCCATCCAAATAAATAAACCAACAGACAACTGGAGATTGCTACTTAACATATATACTCTTTCTATATGTAAATAGTCCAATGAACATGAAAGAGTGTTCAAAAACACATTTCCCTTCATAAGTTGATTTTTCATACTATGGTAAACAATTAGCTTTTTAACAACCTATATAATTAATCTTTTAAATGTTGCCTTCTTATTCCACAGTTTTTGGGCCCCAAACACTAAAAATAAGATTAGGATGAAAAGATAACTGGGTTAAAATCATACAAGTCATTGAACAATAAAAAGCTCAGAATATGGTATAGCAACAATCTGCAGGCAGATTTTCCTGCATGTAGTTCTTGAATTCAAAATAGTTTCATTTTATTGACAAAAACAAGCAAATTTTAAAAAGCATTCTTTTATAAGTTTACATTTACAAATATGTTCTGATATAAAGTTTAAGATAATAAAATAATAATTTTTAACTGAATTTATAAAAGAAATCCACGCCCAATTTTTCTTTAAAAAAGGCAAATTTCAAACTGATAAAAACAAAAAAAAAATTCTGAGGGACAGAAGAATGTTCTATCATAGTACTGATTGTCTACTCTTGAAGTCTATCTTCTTCCAGTTGTAAAGTTTTCTACTAGATGTCACTAACATTAAAATTATTTCACACTTAAATGTTAGTAGACAAAGGTGTTTTGTCTTGTCTTTGGTTTTAGAGTCTCAAAGTTTTGATTTACAAGTGTCTTTAACGACCAAGCTTATAATTGCTTGAGTCACTTCTAAAAGAGGTGTGTGTCTTAGAAACATTTCAATTTGGTTTGTTCACTTTTCTGAGGGATAGAAGAATGTCCTATCATAGTACTGACTGTCTACTTTTGAAGTTGTAAATGTTTCTATTAGATGTCACTAACATTAAGATTATTTCACACTTAAATGTTAGTAGACAAAGATGTTTTGTCTTGTCTTTGATTTCAGAGTCTCAAAGTTTTGATACACAAGTGTCTAAAACGACCAAGCTTATATTTGCTTGATTCACTTTTAAAAGAGTTGTGTGTCTTAGAAGTTTTTCTACTAGATGTCACTAACATCAAAAATTATTTCACACTTAAATGTTAGTAGACAAAGGTGTGTTTGTCTTGTCTTTGATTTCAGAGTCTCAAAGTTTTGATTTACAAGTGTCTAAAACGACCAAGCTTATATTTGCTTGAATCACTTCTAAAAGAGGTGTGTGTCTTAGAAACTTTCCAATTTGGTTTGTTCACTTTTCTGAGGGACAGAAGAATGTCCTATCATAGTACTGACAGTCTACTCTTGAAGTCTATCTTCTTCCAGTTGTAAATTTTTCCACTAGATATCACTATCATCAAAATTATTTCACACTTAAATGTTAGTAGACAAAGGTATTTTGTCTTGTCTTTGATTTCAAAGTCTCAAAGTTTTGATTTTCCAGTGTCTAAAACGACCAAGCTTAAAGTTGCTTGATTCACTTCTAAAAGAGGTGTGTGTCTTAGAAACATTCCAATTTGGTTTGTTCTCTTATAAACATTCCAATTTGGTTTATTCACTTTTCTGAGGGACAGAAGAATGTCCTATCATAGTACTGATTGTCTACTTTTGAAGTCTATCTTCTTCCAGTTGTAAATTTTTCTACTAGATGTCACTAACATCAAAAATTATTTCACACTTAAATGTTGGGCAGACAAAGATGTTTTGTCTTGTGTGTCTTAGAAACATTCCAATTTGGTTTGTTCACTTTTCTGAGGGACAGAAGAATGTCCTATCATCGTACTGATTGTCTACATTTGAAGTCTATTTTCTTCCAGTTGTAAATTTTTCTTCTAGATGTCACTAACATCAAAAATTATTTCACACTTAAATGTTGGGTAGACAAAGATGTTTTGTCTTGTCTTTGATTTTAGAGTCTCAAAGATTTGATGACAAGTGTTTAAAACGACCAAGCTTATATTTGCTTGATTCACTTCTGAAAGAGGTGTGTGTCTTAGAAACTTTCCAATTTGGTTTGTACACTTTTCTGAGGGACAGAAGAATGTCCTGTCATAGTACTGATTGTCTACTTTTGAAGTCTATCTACTTCCAGTTGTAAATTTTTCTACTGGATGTCACTAACATCAAAAATTATTTCACACTTAAATGTTGGGTAGACAAAGGTGTTTTGTCTTGTCTTTGATTTTAGAGTCTCGAAGTATTGATGACATGTGTCTAAAACGACCAAGCTTATATTTGCTTCATTTACTTTTAAAAGAGGTGTGTGTCTTAGAAACATTCCAATTTGGTTTGTTCACTTTTCTGAGGGACAGAAGAATGTCCTATTATAGTACTGATTGTCTACTTTTAAAGTGTATCTTCTTCCCGTTGTAAATTTTTCTACTAGATGTCACTAACATCAAAAATTATTTCACACTTAAATGTTAGTAGACAAAGGTGTGTTTGTATTGTCTTTGATTTTAGAGTCTCAAAGTTTTGATACACAAGTGTCTAAAACGACCAAGCTTATATTTGCTTGATTCACTTTTAAAAGAGTTGTGTGTCTTAGAAGTTTTTCTACTAGATGTCACTAACATCAAAAATTATTTCACACTTAAATGTTAGTAGACAAAGGTGTGTTTGTCTTGTCTTTGATTTTAGAGTCTCAAAGTTTTGATTTATAAGTGTCTAAAACGAGTTGACCTGACACTGCCGCAGTGTATACATCTCCGTTGTTCTATCGGAGGTATTTTTTACAGTGTTTTAGTGTATAGGTATGAGATAATCGTTTGAATTCAAGCGTAATTTCTTCAACTCAGGCTCTCAAGTTCGATTTGAAATCGTGATTTAGAAAACAATAAGTCTGAAGGATCAAAAAGACAAATAAACTTAGATTTTACCAGAGAAAGGAGTGACGTCTGCACAGGCTTGGCTTGATCGCTCACAAATCTGATATAAAACCTCCGGCAAGAATATAGTGTAAATTAATAAACCTAACGCTCACAATTTATATAAACAACTGAATATTATTGTGAAATTGGTGTTATTTCTAAAGTCTCAAGGCAATAATGACTTCTAATAATTGCCAAATCGCACTTGGCAATGTGAAAAATGTAATATCTTTAGTGAACAATGCATGCAAAATTGGCTTCAAGGAAATAGGAACAAGTATAAATGAGTCTCTTGAAAAGTTAGGAGAGGTGGATGCTATGATGAAAGAATTAAAGTGCTTGATTAAAGATCAAAATGACAGGATAGCCAGGAAGGATGAGAAGGAAAAGATTGAAGCTCTTGTTAAAGAAGTTAGGGGTCAAATCCTTTTCAAGAAAATCCCAACCATTTTGAGAGATACAGCTCATGATAAACTACACATTGGACATGTGCAGGAGTATGAATGGTTAACAAAGAGTGCTGATGGAAAGTACCAAACTCTCTGGATAAGGAATAATTGTACTAACCAAATGAAGAAGGCTATAAAAATGAAGATTGACTGGGCAAATGAATACCCTTCTAACTCTCAGGAAAGAAGATTAATCTCCAATATCATGATCGAGGAGGCAGTTCCAAGAGTATACAGGTCGTTCCTAATGAAACTTAGGGCTGATCTGGTGAATCAAAGAGAGGATGGAAAACCTTCAACCACATTTATTCAGAAAGTGGAATATGATTCTGCTATTGGAACTTTAGCTGTCATATATCAACATAAGACCAACAACACAGCAGGATTTAAAGTGCTTGGGTATGTGGCTAATCAAGCTTTGAAAAAACAGGAATTCCAGGATGTTCCTTGGTATGATACCAACACCGGAGAATTGCATGGTCGGGTCGGAGAGGGGCCAAGCGCTGCAGCTCTTGGTGCTGACAGGAGGCAAGCAAGGAAGAGAACAGATTATAAACCCAAGCAGGTAGCAACGGGAGCTAATAAGCAGCCTTACAGGAAGGAGAAGGACCATTATAAATTCACAGCGATAAGAAATTATCTTTTGGAAGTAGGATGTCATGATGGAGAGATACTGGATCAGGTTGACCTGAAGCATTCTGAGCTTACAACCTTATTTGGCATACAGTACGCTGATGATACATTAGGTGAATATATCAATTTTCTACCATGGAGTTTTATCATAAAAAGCAAGATATTAATGAATGATTACTACAAAATGAAAGAGGAGCACTCTGTGTTCCACATGGACGATCCAGCGGCGATCTTTGAGGAGGAGATGGACCTTAGCTCTCCAAAAAATGCTAAACGGAAAGCATTAGATAATCCAGAAATCCCAACTAAACCAAACAAACCATCCAAGACCACTGCCCCTCTGGCAATAGTTAATCGTGAACCAACTCCCATCAAGCCCCCCTTTGCAGCAACGGTGGAAATCGATCCAAAAAGTGATTTTAATCAAATTAAAGGAATTACGCAGCTGAACGAAATTGTAGAGGATGTTAATGCTGATATCCCAAAGAATGTGAATTCAGGTGTAGCAGCCCCACATGAGCCCCTAGTATCAATTAAGGAGCCAGATAAACTTCCGAACAAGGACAATACCACCTTATCAATGGAAGCAGCTTTTGCCCTCTTTCACAAAGTCACCGCTGCAAAAGATAAGTTCAAACGTTGAATTCATATTGAAGGAAGTAAAAACTTTTTGTAAAAAAATATTGAGGAAATAGTTTTAAAAAAAGTGTACAGCTATATCTGTATCCTTCCAATTTTATCTTTTCTAAATTTCGTAAATTTGTGCATTTTATGACAAAAAAAGTATTCGCTTTTTGTATACATTATATTATATATATTATATATAATTAAAACTATGCAACTTTATATTATATTGAATCTTTTCTGATTGAACAAAAAATGGAAAAAAATGTTGAATCTTACTTCAATTTTTAAAATTTAAAAAAAACGAAACAATTTTTCTTTTAAATATTTCGAACGTAAATGCTAACAAAAGTATCAAGAGCAAAAACTTCAATTATTTTTATTTTTTACTATTCTATCTATTTTTTCTTTTACCAAATTGCGACTATAACAAGTAATAATCTTAAATTTCAAACAAACTGAAATTATTCAATTTTTATTTTTATTTCTATTTTTTCCCCTGAGTTTAAAATAGATATCTGGGGTGGGGGGGGGG